TTCAAGGTATATATCAAATGAACCACAGATTTTTCTTATAAATTGTACTATAACCTGCTGTCAAGTTACCTGCTGTTTTAGTTGTACTTCTTGCTGTCTCATTTGTTCATATTTGTGCCTCGATTCTGTTGCTTCCTTTAACAACTAGAAAACAGAAACATTCTGGCAAAATACTAATCGTAATTACAAGTATGACTACAATGTGAAATGACTTGATAAGCGTAATCCTCCCAATCATTATTTTATTAAGAACCCCAAGTCTATAGGTGAAATGTTGTTACACCAAGTGCCAGTTACCTATATTTTTTTTTTATCTGTACCACTTATTAACACATAGGAATGTAGGAATAATCTTACTCCTTAGAAAATGTACTGTGGAGGCCTAATAATAGGTTTATAAAATTCAAGACTAAATTATTGTGTTTTAGGTAAAAAATAATTAGAAGTCTAGTATTAGCAGAAAACATGGCTAGGAATCTTGACATATGGGTGCATTAGAAAGCCCCTCTACTCCACAGAGGCAAGATGAAAGGGTATGGAGCTAAGCAACAAAATCAGAGACCTGGTTTCTGATTACTTTTTAAAAAGTGTGTGTGTGGGGGGAGGGGCCTTAATTTATTTGAGCTTCAAGAAAATTATATAATGAAGTTGCATAGTAGGCATCTATGAAATGCAGTCCCTGAAGTAAAATGTCATACATAGTCCAAATAAGCCTCAAAAAGTCCTTAAACCAACCAGAAAACATATATGTATAATGTGCATGTGGATGCATAAATGAAATTACATTCGAACTCTGGAAATAACACCCACGTTTTTAGTTACACCTGGGATAGCACTGTCAGTTCAGACGACAGGATCACGTTGTGTGAACAATGCGTCTCCTCTTAACCCTACATGCACACTCAATGTGACCTGTTCACATCATGAGGGCCACTCAGGAAGGAGTCTTCATGCCAGACCAGCCTCGGGGCCTAGCTAATTTGAGGGAAAGCTGGATGGAACAGTCTTCATTATCATAACCATTTCTCATTTTTTTTTTTTTTTTTTGGTTAAGCACATATAGTTGAATTGCCAGGTGTTAAATATACATACCCACCCAATGAAATTCCACTGTATTCACAATTATAGACAGGCAATATAATCTAAGCATATACATACTCTGAGAACAATGCTGAGTGATTAGGGTATAGAGAATTTTGTTAAAATTTTTATCAGAAAATTATACAAGTAAACAAATAGTTTCCCTAGTTTCAAGGTACTTTATTGAAAACAAAATGTAACAGTATTATATGAGACCCATGGGTAATATTAAACTGAATTGCCAAATTTAATGTACTAAATACTGGTGTTACTCTTGAACTTGGTGGCCATTACCTAAAAGTGAAATAAACATTCTAAGCATAGAAAAGTCAAACAAGTGCAAGTCTTTCCAGTAATGTGGTCTAATCTCTCTAGTAAATCTATACAAAAAATTAATAGAAATAAAAAGCCTAATGCTTTCTAACACACACATACCCTTCTCAATCTAGAGCAAAAAACAAAACAAAAAAACAAAACAAAACAATTACCATGACCCAGGTACTACAATATATGTAGAATAAGTTAACATATTTTAAATGGCTTTGGTTACAATTAGGCAATAATTTCTTTTTAAGAAACAGAACTTACAAACTCTCTCTCTCTCTGATGTTTTTCATCAGCTTCCTTTATCAGCTGTGAGGTCTGGTGAAGCTTGACATCCACAAGCTGTTGTTGTACTTCCTTATGTTTGAACACCTTATCAATATGCTGCAGGGAAAGTCAAATTCTCCCATCACTTAATGAAAATGGAGCACAACTAGGAAACATAACACGAGTTACAATGCCTTGCTTCTTACTCTGCTTTCCCCGCTAATGCCACCAGAGCTAATGACTGTGCCTTTCTGTCTGGCACCTCAAAAATGGGGCCCTCTCCTAACACCCCATTCCCTCTCTTTCGGAGGTGGGCAATCAAGCACCTTGGCAGCCGCATGCCAGTACTTCCAATTTCTAAAATTATTTTTAAAATATTTCTAGTGATTTTAGAGGAGGGGAGAAGGAGAGAGCTAGAAACATTGATGATGAGAGAGAATCATCTATCGGCTGACTTCTACACACCCCCTACTGGGGATCGAGCCCGAAACCTGGGCATGTGCCCTGACAGGGAATTGAACCGTGACCTCCTGGTTCACAGGTCAATGCTCAACCAATGAGTCACCCTGGCTGGGCCATCTTTTTCTTGATACAGTCTGAGCCTCATCATCATAGTAAGTAGGTCAGAAATAAGAGGTACAGCCCAGTCAGTGTGGCTCAGTGGATGGATAAGGAGCTCAAACTGTTAACTCATGTATCATATACAGAATTTCTGGAGACTTTTTCTCCGTGTTAAATTTTTCCAATTTCTTAGTTGAAAGAAGCATGCTGTGAAGGCAGGCATGGTCTCAGGAAGATGCCCCTCATCCTTGCTGAATCCTAGTCCCCTACCTATGTGGAGACAGCCATGCCCACACTGCAGAGTTATAAAAGCCAATCCAATGGTTACACTATGTAAGGTGTATGGGGCACAGCACATAGTAGCCATTTGGTAAAAGGCTGTTATTATTTCCAAGGAAAACTGTGATGTGGTTATTTATGTATAATAAAAGTCAGATTATCCCTTTTCAGTTGCAGAAAGAGTAACTCTTCCTACCAAAGAAAGAATATCTGATAATGTTCAAATTAATGAAACAAGTAATGTGACTTAAACATGATTTTCAATTTTTCTATAACTACAATGTGGCAGACTGTCATATTAAACAACAAAACTAAAAGAATAACTGTAAAAAAACTGAGGGCTTTATACTCTAATAGAAATTTTATTCTCTACAACAAAAAGATTCTTCAATAAACACATTCTAAGACTAAAGAGCAAAAAGAAATCTTTGTTATAGACTTGAGATACACCAAATAGTGAAAAGGATAGACTTTATGTGAATCTTGGTCCAAATAATTTTTCTTTTAAAAAGGGGATGCCCTAACAGGTTTGGCTCAGTGGATAGAGCGTCAGCCTGCGGACTCAAGGGTCCTGGGTTCGATTCCAGTCAGGGGCATGTACCTTGGTTGCGGGCACATCCCCCGTGGGGAGTGTGCAGGAGGCAGCTGATCGATGTTTCTAACTCTCTATCCCTCTCCCTTCCTCTCTGTAAAAAATCAATTAAAATATATTTTAAATAAATAAATAAATAAATAAAAAGGGGAGAGCCCTGGCTGGTGTTTCTCAGTGGTTGGAACGCCATACTCTGCACTAAAAGGTCACAGGTTCAATTCCCAGTCAGGGCAAATACTTACCTTGTGGGTTCAGTCCAGGTTGGGAAACAGACAAGAGGCAAACAATCAGTCAATGTTTTTCTCTCTCACATCAATGTTTCTCTCTCTAAAATAAAAAATCATATCCTCAGGTGAGGATTAAAAAAATAATTTTTTAAAAAATTTATAAAAGGGAAGAGAATCAGAAAAATGTGGACAATGACTAGACATTTAACATTAAGTAATTATTGTTAATTTTTAGTTGTGAAAATGGTATTGTGGGTAAACTTAAAAAAGAATCCTTATTTTTTTGAAATATCTTTTCAAATATATATGAATGGAATAATATGGCACCTTGGATTTGCTTCAAAATAACCCAGGAGACAAAGAAAAAAAGTAAACAAATAAACAAACAAAAAAGAACAAAATAACCCAGGGGAAGGTGACAGGAATATAGCTGAAACTATGGTTTCATCTACTGAATCCAGGTGACATATTTTCTCTCTACTTTTGTTTAAGTCTGCAATTGTCCATAATAAAAAGTAAAAAGTGATGAGTGATTAAAATAAAATGATTTTAGAAACTAAGTTTTTGAAGGGCTATATGTAAAATTCTAAATTAATATAATCTAAGGTTTGTCTTGTAAACTGGATACAGTAACCCAGAGCAGATGCCACAATTTTTTTATTTTTAATTTTAATCAATCATTTAAATCCTTTTATGTAAGGAATACAACACAGATAAAAGCACAATATTTTATTAACTTAAAAGGCGGGGGAGGCCCTGGCACAGTAGCTCAGTTGGTTAGAGGGTCGTCCCAATAAACTAAGGTTGCGGGTCCAATCCTCAGTCAGGGCACATGCAAGAAATCAACCAATGGCCTGGCTGGTGTGGCTCAGTGGTTGAGCATCTATCCATGAACCAGGAGATCATGGTTCAATTCCTGGTCAGGGCACATGCCCGGGTTGCAGGCTCTGATCCCCAGTAGGGGGGCATGCAGGAGACAGCCGATCAATGATTCTCTCTCATCATCAATGTTTACATCCCTTTCCCTTCCTCTAGGAAATCAATAAAAACGTATTTTTAAAATAAAATAAAAATAAATAAAACCCCTAATGATGCCAGGTCTGTGTGCCTCAGTGGTTGAGTGTCGAACACATGCACCAAGAGGTTGCCAGTTTGATTCCCAGTCAAGGCACATGCCAGGGTTGTGGGCTTGATCCCCAGGATGGGCAGGCAAGAAGCAGCCTATCAATGATTCTCTCTCATCATTGATGTATCTATCTCTCTCTCCCTTCCTTTCTCTGAAATAAAAACATATTTTAAAAAAAACAAACACACCAAGAGAAAAACATGCCCAGCTGATGTGGCTCAGTAGTTGAGCATCAACCCATGAACCAATAAGTCATGGTTTGATTCCTGGTCAGGGAACATGCCCAAGTTGCAGGCTCTGATCCCCAGTAGGGTGGCATGCAGAAGGCAGCCAATCACTGTTTCTCTCTCATTGATGTTTCTATCTATCACTCTCCTTTCCTCTCTGAAATCAATAAAAATAAATTTTAAAAAAAGAGGCCCGACTTCCACTATGCATACACAAAAGTTGTACAACACCATGTGACAAGTTTTACATGTTTAGTAGTGAATGGTGAAAAGGAGTTGCTAATGAGAAGCTGTTGAAACAAACAAAACGGGTTTACCTCCTCCCTCATCGAGTACTGTTCGATGAGCTTCTTCAGCTTCTCTCCCAATTCAATGTTCTCCTGGCGGAGTCTGGCATTGTGTATGTCATGCTGTTCCAGCTGTGCTTGGATTTCATTTAAAGTAATTTGGAAGTGCGCGGTTGCTTCTTTACGTCTTTCTTCCTCCTCTCGGGCCTGCTGCACATTTTCTTCCTGATTGTGGAAAATAATTTGTTAATGGTATAGACCTATGAATAACGTGCTCACAAAAGCTGCTGCTACATGGGTTCGTTTACTGCTGCCCTGAAGTGATGCTTCTGAACTCTAATTCCTTCCCTTTAGTTACGACCAGAAGGCTATCATTTAAAAGCAAGCAGCTTTTCCTAAGTAGTTGGAACAATGGGAGAGATGCAAACTGCCCTACTATAATAAGTACCATGTGACCATCTGAAATACACTATACTGCTAGACAAGTAAGGAGCTTGTCCACCCAGCCGGCTTCCTCCATCTATGTTCACAAGTACCCCTCTCACTGGTTCCACAAGGCAGCATCTTAAAGCAGCCCCAAGAGATAGATCCCTTCTTAGGACATACCTTCTACTTTCTAAGGGCAAGAGGACAAATGGAATCTGTATCTTAAAAAGCCTATTTCCAACTCTTGCTAGGATACATGTATTAAAAGACTATTACATGTCTAAACAAATAACAGTCCAAACAAAATATTGATTTGCTATGGGGGGAAAAAATACCACCTATTTTAATTAACATCTAAATCCAAAGGTTCGAAAGCAAAGAAAAAACCATAGGCTCCCACATCAGGCGCAGATCCATCTCCTGAGTGCTCCTGTATTCTAGGCCTTGTGGGTGTGCTGTGGTGGGGAAGTCTGAGGAGATCCTGCTCAGTGAAAATCAAACCGAACTCTGTAAGAGGAAGGACCTGCCCTGTGTCTCTGCTCTTTTTCCTTCTTCTACTGTTGGTACCAATTAATCTTTGGGTGCCTGCTCCCTCTTCCTTTATAATCGGCCAAGTGCTCTTCTAAAAGTACTCAGGAACTGGGTATCTGGCATGGGCAAAGGCAGCTTGGCAAGGCAGCTGAGTAACAGCCCAAAGGGGGTGGGGGGTGTGCAGCACGTGCTTTCCCTTCCCAGGCTCATTCTGCCTCTAGTCTGTTCCCACTTGGTTCTCAACGCATGTCAGATTCCCACACGTGGTAATGAACTACATCAGTGCTCAGCAGAAAACTGGCAACTTTGAGCTTCCTAAGCCATAGCTCCAAGCAGGAGAGCTTGCTCTAAATACCTATCTCATCTAGAACCCCATGAGCACCTATGAGGGACCCTAAGCATCAGATCAAGCAAAATAGAAAGATGATAGCTCTGTCTCCAAGTAGACACAGGACTTATTATTTTAAACTAGAGGTCTGGTGCACGACAATTTGTGAACTGGGGGGCGGGGTCCCTCAGCCCAGCCTGCGCCCTTGAGGGACGTCCAAATGATGGCTTAGGCTCAGCCGGACATCCTTAGCACTGCGCCGTGGAAGCAGGCCGCTGCACTCGACAGCTGTCAGCCCGGCTTGTGGCTAAGCGGTGCTCCCCCTGTGAAAGGGCACTGACCACCAGGGACAGCTCCTGTGTTGAGGTCATTCCGCCATTTGGTCGATTTGCATATTGCCCTTTTATTATATAGGATAGGTACATGCTGATTATAAAAAACTGAGTTAGTCCCACCTGAAAAACAGAACAAAGAACCAACTAACCTTTAACGTCTTATTGTGACGCTGAAGTTCCCTGCAGAGAGACTCTAGTTTGCTTCTTGCCAAGATAGCCTTACTGTGCTCACTCTGCAAGTGAACTTTCTCTTTCACAATCTGGGCTTGCTTCTTCTGCAGAATCTTCATTTGCTTCTGAACATTCCTGCTCTCCTCCAGCTAAAACAATAAGCACTTTACATTTAGGAAGTACACTGAAAACCTTTGAGTTATGGATGGAAGAATTACAGTAAGAGCTATGAACACATTTTCCATATCCAAATATTATAATGGAATATTTCATTTTCAACTGGTTCATGCCACTCTACTTTGCCAACTTTCTCTTTTCCAGGAAAGTAAGCAAACAATCTAAGGCAGGGAAAAAATCTTAATCTCTTTACTTTCTTACTAAAAAGAAAAATATGATGTTTGAGGAAAACTTTTCAGGAATCAACACCATCAAGTTTTACTTTTCTGAAAGCATACTTAGGCTACTTTAATGAAACAGCTCTCTGAATTAGAACTTAATAAGCTGTGCTCAGGGCTCTTTGTGAGTGAGGGAGGATCATTGGAATTTGCAATTTGGAGCAAATGATTCTATTTCAAAGTTCTATCAACACTAATGGGTAAGATGGCAGCCTTACTGACCTTTCACTGAAGCAAATGATGCTGTCATGATTTCAGAAACAAGAGTGACACCTTGTGGCCTATCAAAACATACCAAGCATCCTTACTGGCAATGTGCACCTACAGCTATTAAAAACGCCTTTATGGAAATTCCTGCTGGAAAAGTAATACTTTTGTAATCTCTCTGTGGCACAACTCCAAGAGGCTGCAAGTTCTGCAGACACCATCTGTAACTCCATTGAGGAATGGAAGTCCCCCAGCCTTCCCAGCCTCAAGGTAACCACAATTCTGAATCTTGGGTTCACTACTCTTTGCTCTCCTCTTTCTTTTATGTCATCTGTGTGTGGTCCTAAAAGAAATCATTTTGGTTTTAGTTGTTTTGACTTTATTGTGGCTACTGCAACTGAGGAACAAAATTTTTTATTTTCTTTCATTTAAATTAATATAAGCTTAAATAGCCACATGTGACTATTGGCTGTTTTGGACAGCACAGCTGTAGATTATATTGCTAGGAGCCATCCAGATTATTCACATGTAGCTATAGACCAGGGAACAGCAAACTTTATATATATCCAGAAGGTAAATATTTTAGGCTTTGCAGGTCACTTAGGATATTTGTTGTGTCATCCTCTTTTTCTAAACAACACTTTAAAAATGTAAAAACCGCTGAGACTGGTTTGGCTCAGTGGATAGAGCATCGGCCTGCGGACTGAAAGGTCCCAGGTTTGATTCCGGTCAGGGGCATGTATCTGGGTTTCGGGCACATCCCCAGTGGGGATGTGCAGGAGGCAGCTGATCGATGCTTCTCTCTCATCGATGTTTCTAACTCTCTCTATCTCTCTCCCTTCCTCTCTGTGAAAAATCAATAAAATATATTTTTTTTAAAAAAAGATTCCCTCTTTGTCTTTAAAAATAAATAAATAAATAAAAATGTAAAAACCATTCTTAGCTTAGTACAAAAACAGGCCTCACCAGATTCAGCCAACAGGTTGCTTAATATTACACTTTTTAAAAAATACAAAACACACAACACACTGTACTGACCCATTCATTTATCACTGAGCATTTGGGTTGCTTCCAGGTTTTATTACTCACAATGATACGAACATTCTGATGTGCTTCTTCATACACACATGCAACAATTTCTCTTGGGTGCAAACCTAGAAGTGGGGTTGCTAGGCAGTGATTTCTAATGTTCTATTTCACATTACTATACCAAACTGTTTGCCAGAGTGGCTGGCAAATTTCTTTTCCCATCAATAATTTAAGTAGATCAAGTAGATGCACATCCTTCTCCAAAACTTAGTATGATCTGGTCATTGACAAAAAGCAGTATTTATGATATAGAATAACTGCTTTAACAAAAGATGAAGCCCCACCGGTGTGGCTCAGCAGTAGAATGTTGATCCAGGAACCAAGAGGTCGCCAGTTCGATTCCCGGTCAGGGCATATGCCCAGGTTGTGGGATCAATTCCCAGTAGGGGTGCATGCAGGAGGCAGCCAAAGAATGATGTTCCTCTCTCATTGATGTTTCTATCTCTTTAACCCTCTCCTTTCCTCTTTCTCTAAAAATCAATAAAAACATATTTTTTTAAAAACTTAACAGATGAAAATACATATAAATTATCAATGATGATTCACGTTAAGTATTTCATAAAAGGCGCTAATTTTACATTTGTATTAGAATTCTAAAAGCCTTCCAAAACCCTTACTTCAAAGGATTCTATGACGTTTCCATGATTTAGTTCAAAAAGGATGGCAGTATTTCCATATTGAGGCTGCTTTCTTAATTTTAAAAAGAGAATTAATGCTACTTGAAATAACATAGGCCCAGAACAAATAAGGTCAATTTCTTTGGAGGAAACTGGGAAAAAGGAATGCTTGGCACACAGTATATGGTAAATAAAAATTTCCCGAGATACAGTATTGTTTTAGTAGACTATTTCATCCAACTCACAATCTCAATCACAATGGCTAAAACCTTTAACTCTAAAATTCCCTTGGTAAAAGTTAAATATAGGAACCATTATAGCCCAAATGATGAAAAGCATGACACAGGAATGAAAATACTGACTTAGATATACTCCGAACTGAGTTTTACAAAAACTTATTATAAAATGACATTATAAAATTGTCATACCAGCAACAAAAAAAGCCCCAAGAAATCAGATTCTCCTCTTCAATTTTAGAATAAAACCTAATTTAGCATTTAAACCTACATCAAAATCACAGCCCAGTCGACATGGCTCAGTGGCTGAGCGTTGACCTATGAACCAGGAGGTCACGGTTCAATTCCTGGTCAGGGCATATGCCTGGGTTGCAGGCTAGATCCCCATTGTGGAGCGTGCAGGAGGCAGCTGATCAATGATTCTCTCTCATCATTTATGTTTCTATCTCTATCTCCCTCTCCCTTCCTCTCTGAAATCAAAAAAAATATATTAAAAAAAAAACTTATCAAGCACATATCCATTTTGCTATATTTTATATGGCCCTCAACCCCTTGATTTAATACTCACAAGATCAGCATATTTCTTACAGAGAGCTGCCAGCTTCTCTTCTGGAGTTGAAAGGGTGTTTAGGGCTTGCATCAATAATAAAACTTCTTTACCTGATGATTAACAAGATAAGAAATAAGTCCTGGAAGAAGAATGAGATCTAATTTAACCTGCAAATTCTACACAGCACTTCCTATGTTCTGACACCCAGAGTAAAATAATTTATGCCTATAATTAGAAATAAGAGATTTACCAGCTAAATTAAGAAAGCTATTTTTAAATTCGAGATTGATAGGCACCCCTTCCGCACCCCAACCCCTAATTTCTTTAATCTCTAACACAGCTATTTGTAAGAACTCTTGCTGAAGGCTTAAAAATTCCCCTGCCTACCCAATGATGTCCAACTTAAGACAAAGGGCAAGTTACAAAGGGCAGAATATTTTTAAAAACTTTCTCCTAACCAAGTACAAATATAGAAGCAAGTTCAAAGGGAATTTCAGTTGGTCCTCTCTGCCTAAGATACACACTCACTTGTGACACGTCTTTTCCTATAGCACAATTTAAATAACTTCTGAATGATTTAGGAAGCATACTGTGTTAACCAAGTTCAATGTAAATAAAAAGATGTCAAGATAGCTCTTCCCTTGGGAAAAAGAGCTTAACAATAATATTTAAAGATTTTAGCAGGGAGAAAGAAGCAGGTGGCTGAGATACAAGGGGACAAGTGGCATTTATAATGTTTTATTTTTTTAATATATTTTTATTGATTTCAGAGAGAAAGGGAGAGGAAGAGAGAAACATCAATGATGAGAGAACATCACTGATCAGCTGCCTCCTGCACGCTCCACACTAGGGATCAAGCCCACAATCCAGGCATGTGCCCTGACCAGGAATTGAACCGTGACTTCCTGGTTCATAGGTAGATGCTCAAGCACTGAGTCATGCCAGCTGGACCATTCCTTTTTATTGCTGAACTAGAGGCATGGTGCACAAATTTCGTGCATGGGGGGCAGGGGGAAGGGGGCCCCTCAGTCTGGCCTGCACCCTCTCCAACCCGGGACCCCTCGGGGAATGTCCAACTGAGGGTTTGTGCCCACACTTTTAACAGATGACAGCTCCATTGTTGTTTCTTTCTTTTCATGCTTAAACCCATTGGAATTAGTAGGTATTCAAAGTGTGTATACATTTAGGGGGGACACCCTATATATCTCTAGTCAGCGGTGAAAGGAACCAACAGCAGATTTGGAACCCCCATACAGGGAATCTCGCTCACTTCCCGCATGTCTCCCCACTCCACTTTCCACCTTTGTGGGCAGCAGAAGAATCAATGTTTTCTCTCATTAACTCGGAAAAGCACGTCCTGTCACCCACTGCCCAGCAGGAGTGCGCTAGGCCCCAAGCCAGCGAGGCCGAGTCAGGGCAGCCTTTATTCATGGGTGCTGGCATCCAAAGTGCACATTCCTCCTCTGCAGTTGCCCCGACTATCCCACCATTTCACTGAGAGGACAGAACTCCTTGCCTCCTCTGGGTTCCTGATCTTGAACGCTGACCAAAGGCACCTCAGCCATACAGGGAATCTCGCTCACTTCCCGCATGTCTCCCCACTCCACTTTCCACCTTTGTGGGCAGCAGAAGAATCAATGTTTTCTCTCATTAACTCGGAAAAGCACGTCCTGTCACCCACTGCCCAGCAGGAGTGCGCTAGGCCCCAAGCCAGCGAGGCCGAGTCAGGGCAGCCTTTATTCATGGGTGCTGGCATCCAAAGTGCACATTCCTCCTCTGCAGTTGCCCCGACTATCCCACCATTTCACTGAGAGGACAGAACTCCTTGCCTCCTCTGGGTTCCTGATCTTGAACGCTGACCAAAGGCACCTCAGCAAGGGCCGTCTGCGCCCACCAGGTGTGTCTGTCTGCACCTGCTCCTGCCGCAGCACTTGCATTAGTCCCACAGAGGTGATCTCGTCGCTGCACTGGCCTCTGCAGGAACAGGGCATCACCACTCCGCCCTCTCACTGTCATCTCAGAGGCGCCCACCCTCAACACCCAGAACACCCAGACACTCTCCAAAAGACATGAGCATGTCCTGTGGGGGACGTAGGCATGCTGGGGTTGATGGAAGTGCGGCAGAGGGAACTTGTGCGTGCCTTGGTCCAGGACTGTTGCAGGCGTGCTAGGGTGACAGAGTGCTGGGGGACATTCGCACGCCAGGGGGGGAGGAGAGGATGTGCGCACTGGAGGCCTGTGGCTTCACAGATCCGCAAACCCCTGTGGCGCAGCCAGGAGGACGTCGATTTGGCCCGCCACAGTGGCTGTCCCTGCGATCGCGCACCTTCTGGGCTAGGAGGCGGGACTTGCACAGCTACTACTCGGCGCTGATGGCCTGCAGGCGCTACTTCAGCTAGGCCCACAGGCTCCACTTGTCGCACTCACGGCTGCCCCCGCCACCATGTGGGGAGTACAGGCCGCCCTATGCCAGCCCACCTCCCCAGCCCAGAGGCTCTCTGCGTGCGCGCTGCCCACAGGCCCAGAGTGGCCAGGGCGGGGCAAGACGCCTGCCCCCAGCCACTTGGCGCCTGTGCACCCACCATCTTTGTCGTGTTAATTTGCATACTCATTCCTGATTGGCTGGTTAATCACATGGTAATGTTATGTGTAACTTTTTAAGACTCCATCTGCTGTTACGCATATAATTGGGGCTGCTGACTTTTTGAAGAAATCTGTCTTGTTTGCAAGGAATTAAAATTATTTTTTTATTATATTACCATAAATTTTTAAGGATTCCAATGTAGCAGAAAATGGACTTAATAAGAAGGATAATTCTAATTTAGCATATAGAAAACCACACAAATTAAACACTGTTAATTTTAGGTATAATAACTTTAAAAAACTTACAGGCAACCAGTAAGACTAAAATAAAAGGGGATTTCAGATTTCATAACGAGATTCAATGTATCATATTCTTAGTCCTAAATCTCAAACATAGCAGCAAAAAGAAAACATACCCTTGAAAGCCAGTCTTAACCCACTTTCAGAACTGCAGATAACATTATGTCATCTCTAAATTATTGTGACTAGTTTTTAAATAAAGTGATCAAATAAATATACAGCTTTCAGAGTAAATTTTGGTCAGACCATATTAAAGATGCAAACAAGACAAGTCGAATATTAATTCCTTCAAGTTGTCCCCAAATTTTTTCACAAAAACCATTTATTGCTTATTTAGAGAGAATTTCCTACTCTATCTTTGCCTCCTGCACAGAACTGCAGCAGACAGGCAGACAGACCCCACTGAAGACAACAGTCGCTAAACATCCACCTTAATACTGGCCACTACAGGCCATGTTCATAATCACCTGTGTGGCAGGAAATATAAAATAAATGAGCTGCGTGTGACGTCCAACCACTAAGCAGAGATTATTACCTAAGGTTTTTTCTTTGTTCCTGTTGCACTCTGAATCTTGCTGACCATCAGGGGGCTCTGTTCTAGCTTCTCGCCCAGGAATTTCCTCTCTTGACTCTTGTGTGCAGTAGGCTGGGTTCACCAAACTTCTGTTTTTTGTTATAAAGTCACTGCCTTCAGCCTCTTCCAGTGAATGCTTGTTACTTATTCCACCACAATTTGAATCTTGATGTTGAAGAATATCGTTTGATTGAGTACGCAATACATCCGTTTTCACCCCTAGCCCGCACATTCCAGCTTCTTCCATTGCACCAATCACAAACTAGAGGGAAGGGAGCAAAAAAGATGAAAAGGGGGTTAAATAAAATGTAATCAACGTTTACTACCAATAGCACACCATAAGTTGACAGCTTTTTTTCTTTCTTAGTGGTTTGTAAAATTGATGTAAATATTGTAGGTAGTTTCTAAGTTTCACTGAGAGGTGACCTAACTGTAAAGTGTAAAAAAGTAAAGTTAAAAAAAATCACACACCTAAGTGGTACCAAAGAAAGCAAGACATGCCATTTAGTTGTAAATCTAAACTTATTTCCCTATAAAACCTCCACTGCTTAATTAGCACCTTCACAAATTATACCAAGTTAATGAACACAAGTTATTCTGGTCTTGATGGTAGATTTTTGGTGGGGATCACTTTGTTTTGTAGTGTACATAGATGACAAATTACAATGTTGCACACCTGAAACATGTTATATTCCAATTTTACCTCAAAAAAATTATTCTGGTCTTATCCTCAAGGAAATGGTACAGAAGAGATGGCTCACTAGGTCCAGCAAAAACCCCATGCTCCTCCAGTATCCTGAGGAGCTGGTACTGCTGGACCAGGGCTCAGCTAAAGATTATGTCTCCCAGCCCCTTACATCTAGGTGGGACTCCCATGTGAAGTTCCCACCAATGGAATGTGAGCCCAAGTGATGACTGTCCCTTCTGCAACAAGATTTTTATTCTTAGAAGCATGTTCTTTCTCCATCACCTCTTCCCCATTGTGGCTGAATGCAGAGGTCTTCAAGATCCTACGAGATGGCAGAGCCACAGGATGAAATCAGCCTAGGCCCCTAAATCCCATGTACATATAAGTCACCCTTCTTATAAAAAACACCCACACCACCGTTATTAAAGTACAAGTTTGCATGGATGAAGTTGAAAGAATTATGCTGTATAAAAGAAGCCAGACACAAAAGCCACAAATTGTCCACACCAAAACCACTATTATAGGAGCAAGAAAATAAAGTTCTCCCATGTTAAGCCACAAAATTTTGAGTATAATGTTTTAAGCAGGTATGCCTACTCCAATATAGATAGTAGGCAATGGAGAGATGGCTTTATTGTAGCATTTTATTCTCAAATCAATAATTTTACTATTTATTCATGGGTTTCCCCCTCCTTGTTAACATTGCTTGTTCACATTGCTTGTTCATATGATGTGGCACAAATTTAAATTCTGTACGATTTCCTCTCTGTGTGAAAGAGAGCTTTTTCGTTTTTTAAAATAATCCAATCAGGGGATGTCTAATATCTTTCTCTTATCACAAATGAACAAAAGCTACTTTCCAAAGTTACTAGAACAGATTGTCATTATAATAATATCCAACTGAATAACTAAAAATAATTTAAAGTATCAAAGCAGGGAATAGAGAGGTTAAGGGACCTAAACCCTTATCTTTTATAGTCTAACTAGTGACCCGGTGCACGGATTCGTGCACACTGAAAGGAAATTAATTAGAAGGTGGCCAGTGGGGCAGGGTGAGTCGGGCCAGACATGCGCTGGAGCCAATCTCCCACGGTCCTTCCCTGGCCAACCACACCTGGGGTGGCGCTGTGGCTCAAAGGGCATCTGCAGAATAAGCAGGGTCCCTCCGGCAGGTGGGGTCCCTCAGCCTGGCCTGTGGGGATCCAGCCAAAACCGGCTCTCCAACATCCCCCGAGGGGTCCCGGAGTGCCAGAGGGCACTCTGCAAAGTTGCTGTCGTACAGGGTGTGGAACGCAAACGCAAGTGTGCAATAAACCAGATTCAGGGCCAACAGTGCCCCAGCAACAACATAACCCACGGCCAAAGGTGGAATTGCGCAGCCCCGCGAGGAATCAGGCTCCCTCCTCTTTGGTTTCAGGGTCCATCACCCAAGAATCACTGCTGCCAAGTCACTGCAGCTCAGCAGCTCCTGTGTTGAG